TTCGTTTTGCACGTACGTGCACAGATAGAACATAACGATGCAACAACAGATGGACAAAGCACACCCACCCATTTGTGCAAAGTAGGATACAAATAGACCTGCAGAAGGTACTCAGATTCCTACAGTGCACAAACACGCATGCATACACACGTATGCAAAAAGGACTCTCATACGCAAATATGAATTGTGTGCCCTGGGAACATACACTATATTTATGCATTGCAGAGCAAAGTTCTGTACTATTTGCCTGCTTCTGCAAAATGGCCCAGAGTTTTGCGAAACAAAATTAAGCAGGAGCCAAACGTAGACATGACAACCCTAGGCAAGCAGGCATAAAATAGGCAGCCCTCCTGAATGCTGCCAGAATAGCTTCGTTTGGGCATGCACAGGGCACAGCATGCGATGCAGCACAACGTCTTTATGGGGCTCCCATGCCCAAATGCAAATAAGCATTAAAACAACACACCGTCATGCAGAAATTCACAAATGGCGCATTCCGTCAACGTACGTACATGTGTGCATGTTGTATCTGCAGAAACACACAACCTTGCACACATACCAAAGTATGTAACCATGCATGAACACATAGGAAATTGGCACGCACACACAGACACATGCAAACACACACAGACACACACTCTGATGTATCTCAGTAATTTAGCAGGTAGCAAAGAGCAACATCAAAGCATCCTGGGGAAAATTGTCCCATTTCTGCACATTGCACAGGTATTTTCCCCTCCCCACCAACCCAGCTGCTTTACTTTTAACCTCCCGCAGCAAATCTGCTTTTTGGGGAAAATCCTCCATTTGTCTGCATGGTGCAGCAAGTAGATATATCAATCTCTTGGCGCGTCTCGTAGATTTCCCGTAGTTCAAATTAACCTTAGCCACTCCACCGCAATTCCAACAAAATTGGAGATATCCGTGGGAAGCCTTGAGCCTCTGTGCATGGCTCTCTCTCTGCAAAACCCTTCTTTGTAGCTCTGCAGGTCTTTGGTTTTTCTCCACCTGGAATCTGCATTTCTGGCTGCCAAGTCATGCCTTCACTCTCTTCGGGTTACTTGACTGTCCAGGTGACGCACCGCGGCATCTCAACTCCCGCTTTCTCTCCAATTTCTCCAAGATGGACAGGTGGCATTCCACTTCTGATTACTGGAGGCTGGGCTGGGCTCCTTCCTTAGCTAACTCCACTCCTTAAGCTCTCTCCAGTTTCTGCAATTAGTTGGTGAATTGTTTGCCTGTATGAACGTGATGAGCAATTATATAACAGCGGCCTTTTCACTGGCACTGTAATTATCCTTCCCCAGGAGAATGTGGTACAATCCAGAGTCCTGCATGCCTCTGGGCTGATTCTGGAATCTCTCCATGCAATGAGAGGGCGGTTCTGGTAAGAAACAGAAGTCCCTGCTCTGTACCAGCGATACCTGCCTGGTGCAAATTCCCAGCATCGTTGGAGCACCGCGAAGAGACACACCTCGGAAAAAGAGCGGGTGTACAATAAGGAAGAAGGTGTTCCAGCTGCTGGTTTCTGCAGGGAAAAAAACCACATTACTGTAAATGTTTTTTTAAAATGTGTTTTCTTAAATGCATGCAAAACCTTTGCCAGACCAATTCTCGAATACAACTCGTCTGCCTGGAATCCACACTATATATCGGACATTAACACAATTGAGCAAGTCCAGAGGTATTTCATGAGAAGAGTCCTCCATTCCTCTGCTCACAACAGAATCCCTTATGTCAGCAGACTCTAAATTTTGGGCTTGGACAAGTTAAAACTATGCCACCTGCAGTGGGACCTAAGCATAGTACACAAAATTGTGTGCTGCAACNCAAGATGGAGAACAAGATAGAAAGCATTGGCCTGAAGAAGACTCCCATGGGCATTATCCTGGATCTCCTTGAACAACAGGAGGAGACCATTTCCAAACTAGCCGATTACCTGGCTAAGGCAAAGGATTAATTAAACATGCAGCGTGCATTGGGGAGTTTGTTCATTTTGTCCAAGATCATTTCGCAGTCTGTAAGCCGAAGTCGATACAGACCGCAAGAGCAAAGTATGGCAAAATAAAACACCCCAACTCGTCCGGGTTTCCTCTGCACAGGGTGGTAGTATCCCATTTATAACCTGTCAAAGTGTCTGAGATACAAATACATTAGGTAATTTACGACAGGGGTCTCCAACCTTGGCACCTTTAAGCCTGGTGGACCTCAACTCCCAGAATTCCCCAGACAGCTTCTGGGAGTTGAAGTCCGCCAGGCTTAAAGTTGCCAAAGCTGGAGACCCCTGATTTACAGCACTCACTAGTGTTGAATGGTAGACTTAACTTCTTTCAGATTCTTTTATCTCTTATGTTAAGTATTTTGCAAACTGCATATTTGGTGCCCATTCTAAATGCACAGTATTCTTTGTTACCTTCAAGCAACATAGCCGTGTGCTACTGCACATATCTGAACGACTGTTTTTGAGTGCAGAAATAAATCTTAATTTATGTACATCCTTATGCACCTTTTGAGTGGGATGTGGTTTCCCTATGGAGAAATAGAGACCTGCAATTAGAAGTATGACATGCCCATTTTGTTGTGGGATATTTGAATCTGTCTCCCATCTAGCAGCTGAATCCTTTTCCTCCCCTGCATGAGTTGCAAGCTTGCACAGATAACATCTAGTCAATAACATTCCTTCTTTGTTTTTTCTGTATGCATATGAAGAATTGTACTTGTTAGGGGCAGATTTTGTAACAGGGGGAAACATGATTTTCTGTGCATGCCCACAAACAGGTATTATACATGCTTTAGTTACAATATTTAGTAATCAAATCAGGCTTGAGATCTGCCGTTACATAGAATTATGAATCTTATTGAGTGTATGACTGGAAAACCAAATCTTAGTGTTTGTTAATATCTCACAATGACACTTTTGTGCAAGAACAATAAATATGTAAAATACCACAAATGTCTTCCTTTTCTTTTTCTGTTCCACTTATATGCAGACTTATTTATGCTACAAATAGCAAGTTAGAAGAGAAACTCATCCAATTATCTGTTTGTGAGACTGATATTAGCTAATGTTAGCTCTGTAACTCCCTATCCCTAGCTCTTCCTTCTGGAACTGGAACTAAAATTGTAACATTTTATTTATTTCATGTGGACTGTAAAGTTACTTATACAGGAAATTACTTGGTGGAGAATATGTATGCGTGTTCCAGCATTAAAAAACTAGCAACCTACATTTGATTTGCTTGTTGACTTTCAATGCATTGGTTCTTCCAGTGTTTGGTTTAGTTTACAACTTTGTTATTTTAATTAAATTACTAAAGAATAAAATTGTCTTTAGTACGTAGAAATGTCACTATAATTTTGAACAATGTTCTCTTAATGTCCTTATTTAAATAGACGGTGACACTGAAATACATCGTTCCAATAAATAATTAACAGGCACCACATTTATTTGACATTTGCCATTGATACAATTACTTTACCAGTGTTAGCCTCTGCTTCGCCACTTGCTTTCGACTGTCATTGAAATGGAAAGGGGGAGGCATGATATTTGGGAAGGGGAGTTTTAAGTACAGGAAAGATTGTAAAAGGGAGTTTTGTTCTCACCACCTACTGCGCATGCTGGAGATAATGGATGGGCCTGTTAATTATTTATTGGAACGATGTATTTCAGTGTCACCGTCTATTTAAATAAGGACATTAAGAGAACATTGTTCAAAATTATAGTGACATTTCTACGTACTAAATACAATTTTATTCTTTAGTAACTTAATTA